CATTTCTACCTCCCGCCTCTCTCCACTCAAGCTTCGCTATCCTTCCGCATTTCAAATGGCCGGCCTTCCCCCCAACCCCCCCTTGCCAGGCCTCCACGGCGCCTCCGTCGTCATCACCGGCCGCCGCAAAGACGTCCTCGACGGCGCCGTCGCCGCGCTGCGCGGCGAGGGCATCGCCGCCGCAGGCCTGCAAGGGGACGTCCGGCAGGCGGCCGCGTGCGCCGACTGGGTCGCCAACACGCTGGCCATGTATGGGGGGCTTGACATCTTAGTCAACTGCGCGGCGGGCAACTTCCTGGCAAATGCGGCGGAGCTGTCGCAGGGCGGGTTTAAGACAGGTGCGCGCCCGGGCGGCCCCGCGTGGGACCCTGCCCGGTGGCTGGCGCGCCGGCTCCTCGGCCGGCTTCTTGTTCCTGGCCTGTCCTATGGACAGGGGTGCTGCAGGGGGCGTGCTCCCTCGGGCCATTCTGTGTTGCTGGGACATGGTTCGCGGCCCTGCACCCCGCATCAAACCCGTCGGTGACCCCTGATTCCTTCCTTTCCTCCGCCCACCCTGCCCATCATCTCAAGCCCCGCCCCAAAATCTGGACCAATGCTGAATCCGCGCAACCCTGATGTACCAACATGACCTGCAACTTGCACCTGCCCATAAACCACCATTAGTCATGGAGATCGACGCCGTGGGGACCTTCACCATGAGTCGCGCCGCCTTTGACGCGCTGAGGGCCGCGGGGTCCTCCGTCATCATCAACATCAGCGCCACCCTGCATTACGGCGCCACCTGGTACCAGGTGACTCACCGGGCAGCACGGGTGTGCCGCTTGTTTGGAGCACGCGTGATTCTGTCGGATTGCGTGTTTCTGTGTGCTGTCGTGTGCGTGCGAGCATGTGTGCGTGCGTGTGCATGTGTTCTCGTGTGTGTGTATGCATGAGTGCGTTTGCAGGTGTGTAGGCGCGCATTTCAGCATGCTTGCAAATGCGGGCAGGACACGGCTACTCGCCCGCCTCCTCCGTCAACCCTGATTCGCCCGACCCTGCCCGCGGCAAACCCCGCAACCCTAGGTCCACGCGTCGGCCGCCAAGGCGGCGGTGGACAGCATCACCCGCAGCCTGGCCCTGGAGTGGGGGGAGTACGGCGTGCGGGTCGTGGGCGTCGCGCCCGGCCCCATCCAGGGCACTGCGGGTGAGAGGCGCCACGACAGCGCGGCGGCGCGGCGGCGTTGCAAGCTGCAAGCCCGGCCGCTGTCGAGCTGCTCCCACTCAGCGGACCAGCGCCGGCCTAGCCCGTCGGGCCGGCCTGACCCTGGGGCTGGCTCGCGGCTGCCGGTCGTGTTGAGGGCCCGCGCTGCTCTTGGCCAACTCCAAGGCGACCCCATGATGCGTCGATTTTCCACCACCCCCCCCCCCCGCCCTCCCAAGGCATGTCGAAGCTCGCCCCAGTGGACGGCCGCGGGCCGTCGATGGAGGAGGTGGTGGGCGCGGCGGTGCCCCTGGGGCGTCTCGGGGAGAAGAGCGACAT